GGTCACAACAAAATTTTAGCATCTTAATCTTTGTAAAGAAATAAGATTGAATTTTTTGGCCAATACAGACGAAACATACGTTTTTCTGCAAAGCTTTTTTTTATACAAATCAAACTTAAAATCTCTGCAACTACTTTCTAAAGAAGGGGTAGGCACTCGGAAATAGCCCGAGTGGTAGCACGTGCCAGCAGTAATTGCTGGCTGATAAGACTACTGGTGGCTCCCTCTTTTGAGATTTGCTCTGAAGCGAGCTAATGACGGGTTTTTATTCTTTGCATGCGGCAGTACCAATTTACCATCGGAACGAGTGATCATAGAAAAACCGTTCTTTCCATTGACAGGATTGAATCTCGATTTTTATCATGACAACACTGATAATTCCCCGTGCCCCACATTCGCCAATTTTTTTTGCCGATACGGTGTAAAAACGCATGAAAACTGATACTGACAACTACTTTATTGAAGCGAGAAATTTTATTCCACAGATTACTGTAATAAATGCTCAACCTATAACATCGCAATTTTTAAGAAATCTGTGGCAAATTTGGTTCCGGAAGTCAAAAGGACCTTTCGGGCGACAAAATTTGATGACGAGCCATTCCCACAGTCGGAACCAGTCATTTGCCTTTTGCCGGAGGGCTCGGTTTCTGCTGAGGAGTTGCTGGTGCTGCAGCTGGAGCAGGTGGTGGTTTTCCTGGTGATGCCGGTGACGCCTTCCCTGGTGGCGCTGGTGATGCTTGTCCTGGTGCCACAGGTGACGTTTTCCCCGCTGCTGCCGGTGGTGCTTTTCCCGCTGGTACTGGTGGTATTTGTGCGGGTGGCGCTTTTGCTGGCAATGCCGGTAGTGTTTGTGCTGGTGGTGCTTGTGGTGTTTGTCCTGGTGGCGCTGGTGATGCTTTCCCCGGTGGTGCGGGTGGTGCCTGCCCTGGTGATGCTGGTGGCGGTTTTCCTGCTGGTACCGGCGACGCCTTTGCCGGCGGTGCTTGTCCTGGTGATGACGGTGGCGGTTTCCCCGCTAGTGGCTGCGATGCCTTCCCCAGTGGTGCGGGCGGCACCTGTCCTGGTGATGCCGGTGGCGGTTTTCCTGCTGGTGCCGGTGGTGCTTTCCCAAGTGGTGCGGGTGGTGCTTGTGCTGCTGGTGCTGGTGGTGTTTTTCCGGGCGGTGCCTGTGCTGCTGGTGCCGGTGATAGTTTACCCACTGGTAGCGGCGATGCTTTTTGTGCTGGTGCCGGTGATGCTTTCGGTGCTGGTGCTATTGGTGGTGTTTTCGGTTCTGTTTTTCCGCCCGGTTTCTTGGCTGCTAGCGCTTCCTCCGCCTCAAAGTATCCTTCCGGTGTAAAGCGGAAGAACAGGCGACCACTGGGCGTTCGGAACCGCTCCTGAAAACAGAATCTTTTAGGGTAGCTTATTAACATTCACAATTCCTTATTGCTGTTCTCGACTGTAGCTTACTAAGCGCAGAGGCCAGTGCAGGAGTTTAAACACGGGGCAGTTGACTATTCTTCTAAAGCAAGAAGGAAGGAGGTTGCTTGAGGAAACTGAGTTGAAGATTGCAAAGTTTCGTGATTGTAGCTTCAGCATCTCTGGAGAAGTAAAGCATGAACGAAGGCCTGACTCTCTTAAGTCAGAATACAGCGTAGACTAAATAATTATAACAAACATTCACTGAGGTGCCGTTTGACTATGCAAAGTTTTATAAGTGAAGGTTGAAAAGCTCCGAGAAATAAAGCATGAATTATTTAAGACCAGACCTTTTTAGATTAGAAATTAGCAGGGGTTTAAACCAAAATTAAATGTTTCAGAAATCTTAAAGATGCAAACAACGAATATCTCTGACTAAGGGACTGGAAGAGGATGGGTGGGGCTCCCTGGGGGACTTTCCTTGACATGAGACTTGAGAATCAGTACGTTTAGCTCCTGGACAAATATATGAAGTGAGTCGTGCGACTTGGGTTTAAGCTTATCAAATCAAAAAGAGTACGATGGAGAGCTTTAACCAAATTAGGAGACATCTTTTACAACTGTAAAAATAACAGCGATTACGAAAGCAACACGTTTCAATTCCACTGTGTTAAAAACTGTTGAAGTTAAGTATGAATCTACACGATTGCGGATAAAACAATGATCTGACAAGCCAAGGAAGGTTCATTTGAGAAAGCATGCTTTATTAGTTAATGATACTTGTCAGTATGGCGTCTGGTAAAATTCAAATAAGACACTACACGTTTAAGCTAAATTTAATAAATAGTATGGGAGCTAATGAAGCTGTGTGGGAGAATTGGCGCACCGCAATAATTGCTGAAGTAACACTTACGACGTGATAGTCGGCTTTGGTCACTTTTGCTTTCTCGTCAGCTTTTTTCTTTGGTTTTTTGGATTCTTTGTCTGCTTTTGAACTTTCTGGACCTTTTGATTCTTCTTCTTGTTCCTTGGAACTTTTTGCGGGTTTCGTGCCCTGTTCTTCTTTAGATCCTTCTTTCTCTTTGGAACCTTTTGTGGGTTTCGAGCCCTGTTCTTCTTTAGATCCTTCTTTCTCTTTAGAACTTTTTGCGGGTTTCATGCCCTGTTCCTCTTTAGATCCTTCTTTCTCTTTAGAACTTATTGCGGGTTTCGAGCCTCGTTCCTTTTTGGTATCACCTGCGGTCTTCGATTCCTCTGCGTCTTTTGAGTCAACATAGGTCTTCGATTCTGGTTCTTTGGAATCTTCCTTTTTGCCCTCATCTTCTATCTCCACGTTTTCTTCGTCTCTGTCCGTCTGTCCAGTCTGAACAAAACATTCAAAATTGCCTGAATTTCGGCAGTGAAATTCATCGTGGACTAGTTTTTTGCTAATTTTCTACAAACTCAACGTTTAAAAATTCATCGCTGGTTCTTCTTGTGCAAATGCATTCCCCTTTTCAATCTTTTTTAGAAAAAAATTCAAATTCAAGCTAAAAAGTCTCCCATCCAAGTACTTAGCAAATACCAATTTCGGCCTTATTTAAATAAATTTGGTGTCAAATTTTCGCGTTTCCGGCGGGCGCGGTGTGCTACAATAGATAGGTACTGCTCGTAGACTGAAGATATTTATTCCATTAATGG